TGTGCTTGTCAAATGTGTGAGAGTTGGAAAAGATAATCAAATCTATTATTTATTCTATTCATTCATATTACAATTTTTACGTATATTCATTTCTACTCATCATCATTCAACCATATTTAATTGACTTCTTCTTGTTTATTCATTTAAATGATAGAAATAAATGAAAAATGATATATTTATTCTATAAATATTATTTATTAATTAATTTATATAATTGTATTTCTAATTTTTTCGTTACTTTGAAGATTAATCTCATAATATGTATATCTCATTCAAATAAATATCTTTATTTATAATACAAATATACTTAGTATTATCTTTATTATTCTTTATTATTTCTTTGTTCATTTCTCTTTTAATTATTAATTTAGTATTAAATTAAATATTTTCTTTATTCACAAAATATTCTTTAAATATATCAATACTTCTATTATCTTTTATTTTCTATTTTTATAAACTTTATTTATTTTTTAAATACGTATTTCTCTACTTCATTACTATTATTATTATTTTTACTTTATATCATTTTAAATAATACTTCATTCATTCTATTTTAATCTTTCTTATTACTTATTCTTTGTTCGTTATTTTTTAATATTATTATTCCTTCATTTTTATTCTCATATCTTATTGTTTGTTAATCATTATTTTATATCAATTTCTTTATTAGTTGTTTGTTAATTATTTCTTTTTATTTTATAATTTTATATGTTCTTAAATCTTTAAATTTTCTTTTATTTTGTTTATTCATATTTATACAATATTATTCCTATTTATTATTTACTCTTTTATTACTTTTTATTTTAATTATTTTATATATTCTTCTATTTATTTTCTTTATTATTTATATATCTTTTAATTTTAATCATTTTATTTATATGACTTTCTATATTTATTTTGAATCATTATTTTATCATTTATTGATATTTTATTCTATTTCTTTATCATTTATATTATCTATTTTTCCTTTTCTACTTTCCTTTTAATTTTTTATTTCTATTCTCTCTGTTTCTTCTGTATAATACTTTATTATTCTATTCTTTTCACTTTGCATATCTCTCTTTCAATTTATTCAACTTCTTTTATCCATCTTATTCTTTCTTTATATTTTCTTTATATTTTCTTTTATTTTCTCTTTTTCTGTATTTCCTCTTACTCTTTCTTCATTTCTTCATCTTGTATTTAACTTCATCATTTCTAATCATCACCATTCCCTTTTCATTTCATTTTATTCATTCTTTCTCTTTTTTATTTAACATTCTTTAATTCTTTTGTCTTACTTCTTGCCTCATGAACTTTATCTTCTTTTCCTTTTTTTGGACAAAACCAAATTAATTTCCATCTTTTGATAAAAATTAAAATTATTAAAAATCACAAATGAACTTCAAATGAACTATTAATTAGTTATATTATTAAAACAAAAAGATGATTGTTTTTATGTTATTTACGGTCTTTGTAAGTTCCCAAGACCCCAATCAACAATACAGACAAACAGCCACGCAACCAACTGGAATTCACCCAACAACAACTGAAGCAATGCAGTATAGGAAAATGATGGAAAAACAAGATGCTGATCAAATAACAAGTTATTTGCAACAAAGAACACAGGAGATGGCCGATAGTTTTCAAAGAAATATGAAAAATAAAGAAGAAATGGAAATGAGTAAATTAAAACTAAATAATATAAAAGAACAAGATAATTATAGAAGAAAATTTGTTCAGTTTATTAAGAAAGATCCATACTCGCATTATGTCAAGGAATTAACAGATACTGAAAAGGAAGATTTACAAAATTTCCGTACATTTATGGCTGCTGCTGATAAACCATTTAATATAAAGAATTTTTATGGAATGATGAAAAGGAAAGAAAATACTGATTTGTATTCCAATGTTGGACTAAAAATGAATGGGATTGATGGAGTATTTAATGGAGGAAAGGATTGGTATAAAAAAAGAATGCAATGGTTATCTAAAGTTGGTCCTGGACTTGATGAAGAGTCTAGTGGATATTTAAATAGGAAATTCTTTAGTAGACATTCTTCTGAAGATCCTAAGAGTTATATTGGAAAGAATGCACCAATTCAGTTTGCATAATTAACTTAATAATATATGATTTTTAGTTATTAACTTTCTTTTTATATTTAAAGAAAGGTTAGATTTGCTGTTGGTTAAAAACAAAAAAGATTCAATCCAATCATGATTTAATTAATGATATAATTACCAATTCAGATGAACTACTTTTACTCAGTTTGCCAATTCCAGATTTTAAAAAACATATCAGAAAAAAAATTGACTAATCGTGCAAATATTGATTGTGATAAACTTTGTCGTTGTTCGATTGTGATTTGGTCATCTAAAGATGGGTCTATTAGTTCATAAGAAGGAGATACTTTGCAAATAACGTATTTATTTCCATTTGACAAGATAAATCGATTTTTAGCAAAGTTGTCAGCACTCTCTTTTTTTTGGAAATCGACTCTAACACCTTTATTATTCCAATTAGTTATAGCCACAACATTACCGTATTGAAGTAGTGTGGCATAAATTTGATTGATTTCATATAGTCGTGCAGATATAATAATA